CAGATAACTGAGGCATATAGGACCCCAACTAGCTACAATCAAAAAAAATCTACACCTAGACATATAATAATCAAGATCACAGAAACCCAACAGAAGAACAAAATACTACAAGCGGTAAGAGAAAAGAAACAAATGACATACAAAGGAAAGCCCATCAGAATCACAGCAGACTTTTCAACACAAACCCTTGGAGCAAGGAGAGCCTGGAATGAGATATTTCAAGTACTAAAAGAGAACAACCTCCAACCTAGACTGATTTATCCAGCAAAACTCTCTTTCAAAATGGAGGGGGAAATAAGACACTTCCACTACAAAGAACACCTGAGAAACTACATGAATACCAAACCAGCTTTACCCTTATATCTTGGGTGCATCTTTGCTTATACAACACTCATGTAGATTTAATCCAATCATTTAAATTTTTTGTTGGGTAGAATTCATTTCCTTTTATTGTGATATATTGACATATTTGGATTATTTTCTGCCATCTATTTCAACAATGATTTTTTAATGTGCTTCATTGAGCTGCAGAAGTTTAAAGTATAGCTTTCTACCTCCTTTCAAACATTATAGAAACTCTAAGAATATGTTAACTCCACTTTCTCCATTCTTCATTTTCCATGATATTGTTGGTTTGTACCTTGTCTTTAACCAGCTTCATAAATTAGTGATTATCATTTTTAAAGTGAACATCTGATGGTTCATACTTTTTCATGTTTGCAGTTTGTGCTTTTTTTTGTGGTCTTGTCTGTTTTCCTTTCGAGCTTCAATTTCCTAGTTATTCTTTGAGCAAATGCCTGGGAGTGGTAAGCCTTTTTAGTTTTTCCTAGTACCTTTTGTCATCTTGTCCTCCCTCCTAAGTGATTGTATATCTGTTTATGTTTGTACATTATTATTGATGAAAAATCTATTGCCATTTTAATAGTTTTGCCTTCTATAGGCAATCAGCTTTTTGATGATTATTTAAAACTTTTTTATTCGTATTTATTATCATCAAATTTTGCCACTTCAATGTCCATGTGTCTCTCAGTGTACTTTTATAAACTACAAGCTTTAGTTATGGAAATTTCTGGTTTATTACTAGCACTATGTGGTTCATTGGCTCTGCCCTGCATTCCCTATTTGAGGATTATATTGTACCATCTGTTTCTTACATCTCTTAACTGTTCTTTTTTCTTTTTTTTTTTTTCTTCACATCGGATAGGTCATATGCTGACATTGTAAAAAGGTTTGAGGTAGGCACAGCTCACACAGTGGCATGAAAATCTAATAATCACACTTAAGAACCACAAAAGCTTCTCTCTTTTTTTTATATTTCGTCTCTTCTTCTGGATGATTTCTTTTACTTTATTTTCCAGTTAACTGCATCTTTCTTCAGTATGGCTAATGTACTTATCACATTAATAAAATTTTTAATATTAAATGACTTTTTCATTTGTAGAAATTTCCTTCTATTATTGCTTTAACAGCATCCCCAGTTTTGATATGTAGTACTTGATTACTGTTCAGTTGAAAGTATTTCAGGTTCAATTATGATTTCTCTGATTCATATTTAATTGTATTTCTTAATTTCTAAATATAATGGAAAGCTTCTGATTATGTTTTTGTTTCTGACATTTAGATTGTGGTCAGAGAAAAGCCTTTAATTATTTTGTTTTTTCAAACAGGGTCTTGCTGTGTAGTTCTCCTGACCTTGAACTCACTGTTGTCCAGGCTGGCAATCCTCCTGCCTCGGTCTCCCAAGTTCTGCGATTCCAGGCATGTGCTGCCACACCTGGCTTATTATTTAGTCTTTTGAAATCAGTTAGAGTTTCTAGTTGGTTAATATCTGCCATGGTATGGCTTAACATCCCTGAAAGGTGTATGTGTTGAAGGTGTGGTCTGTGGGTAGCTCTGTTGGGAGGATGTGGAACTTTTAAGAGGTGAGGCCTACTGGGAGAACCTTAGGTCATCCGGCCATACTCTGGATGTCTGGGATTGTGGCCCAGTTTCTCAGGTTCTCTGGACTTCCTGGCTACTGAGTAAGTGGTTTGCTCCAACACACACTCCCTTCCATTACCATCTGGTGCCCTCACCAGAGACCCAGAGCAATGGGGCCAGCTGATATGGACCATGAGCCAAAATAAACTTCTTAGGGCCAAGGAATTAGCTCAATGGTTCCAGTGCCTGCTTTAAAATAAACCTCTTATCTCTCTTTCTGGTACTGGGGATCAAACTCGGGACTTGCAAGTCAGGCACGGTGCCACTGAGCTAAATCCCCAGCCCTAACCTCTTTATGTTAAGTGCCTCAGGTATTTTATTATAGTAATGAGAAGCTAATATGGTATGTACTCAGTTTTTGTAAATTGTCCTACATGTGCCTGAGGAGAATTATGTTCTGTACTTTTAGAGTGAAATATCTCCATCCCAACTTAGGCTTCTCTGCATATGTACAGATGATCATATAGTTATGATGGTTTGACTTAGGATTTTTTAATTTTATGATGGCATAAAAGCATTATACATTGAGTAGAAAACATTTTATAGTTTTATTTATTGACTTTTTTGGTGCTGCTAGGGATTGAACCCATGTCTTCAGAGTAAGTTATATTCCAGCCCCGCCCCGCTTTTTTTCCAGACAGGCTGTCACTAAGTTACCCAGGCCAGATTGAAACTTGTGATTCTCCTGTCCCAGTCTCCCAGAGTGCTGGGATTATAAGCGTGTGCCACTATACCCAGACATGTGAAATATTTTTTCCTCACTAGAAAAATGTGATGTAGTACTCTCTCATGATGCTTGGCAGCAGCAGCAAGCCACAACCTCAGTCAGCCACACAATCATGAGGGTAAACAGCAGCAAGTACTCTACAGTCTACTGTGTTGCTAACCTATAATGTTCAGTAGATTAGATGTCTTAAATTCATTTTTTACGTGAAACATTTTCAACTTATAATGTAACTTCATGATAAATCAGGAAACCTATACATGTGTATATCTTATACATATATGTATATATATATATACACACTTGTTTGTAATATACACATTTATTTGTGATGTCAAACTCAGTTATTACCTAAAAATGTCTTAGTTTTATTCTGAAAAAGATATTTTCTCTAGATGTAGAATTCTATGGTAATATTTGCTTTCTTTCAGCAAATTAAATATACATTCTGTTCTGCTATTGTTGCTTTTGAAAAGTTAACTTTCACCAACTTTGGAAGTAATAACTGGTTATTCCTTTGAAAGTAATCTTTTCTTATCTGCTTTTAATATTTTCTCTGTGATTTGTTTTTTATGAGATATGTATGATATAAATAATTTTTGTTTATTGTTTATTGAATTTATTCAATCTGGATTTGTGTCTTTATTCTAGAATATTTTACCTTATCTCTTCAACTATTATCTGTTTCTTTCTCATTCCTCTTTTTCTGAGGCTCCAATTTAACACTTTGGGTAGCTCTTGTCTTTGGCTTATGTTCCTTTTTCCTTACCAGCTGCCAAAGCTGAAAACCACATTTGACTGAATCTGTGAATACTCTAGACCTGAGTCATTTCAGTACTTTAGTTACTTCTTCAGGTTCCCTCTCTTCCTTAGCTTTTGGCCTAGTAGTTCCTAATTATTTTGTTGCTTTTCGTTGCTCTTAAGGAAATTTTAAAAATATTTTAGCTTATTTGTTAGTTTTCAAAAGATGAGTCTGAATAATCTAATTCACCTTTGTTGGAAATGAAAGTATTTCTGTTTTTTGTTTTGTTTTTTAGCAGGGAATGAACTCAGTACCTTGTGCTTGCAAGGCAAGCAGCAGCACCACTGAGCTAAATCCTGAGCCCAAGAGTTTGTTTTTTAAAATATTACTAGCTACCCTACTGAACCATCTTATTGCTTATAGTATTTCAGTTTACTTTTTTATTTGCATCGTCATTATGCCTGTAAACAATGAGAAACTTTGTTATTCTCTAAAATAAATAGATGTTAACAGGAACTTTTATTTGTATGGGGGAGAGTTCAGCAGGGTCTTGCTTTGTAGCACAGACTGGCCTTGAACTTGCAGTGATCTTCCTGCCTTACTCAGTCTCCCAAGTGGTGGGATTACAGGCATGCGCCACCACACCCAGTTTATTTGTATCTGTTTTGTTTTTGTTTTTGTTACCAGGGATCAAACTCAGGACCTTGTGCTTGCAAGGCAAGTGGTGGACCACTGAGCTAAATCCTTGGCCCTATTTGTTACCTGTTTTTGAGAGGAATGGTTTTGTTTTTTCATGATCATGCATGATACTGACATTTAATTGTATGTGTGCTTAGTCTATCTCTAATTGTATAGGTATTTATAAAATAGGTGTGTTAAAGTTAAGTATGCATATACAATTTCATTTTCATCAGAGTGAATTTTATATTTTTCTATTAAGATGACCATATTGTATGCTTTCCTTGTGCCTTCTCTTTGTGATTTTGATTTATATATTATTGTACTCATTACTTTCCCATCAGTAAGACACAAAACCTAACATAAACACCTTGAAGAACATAAACACCTTGAAGGAGAGATTTATTTTGGTTCATAGTTTCAGTTGTTCAATTCATGATCAGCCAGGTCCAAGACAGAAAAAGCATGGTAGAAAGCCTCACTGTAGTAAAACTGCTTGTCACATAGCAGCCATATATATATTAATGTATTTTATTTATCACTGAACCCAGGGCCTCTCACATGTTAAATAAGCACATGTTCTACTATTGAGCTACACTTCTAGCTTTTTTATAAATGTTTTTTAATTGATGCATACAAATTGTACATATTTATTTATTTGTTTGGTACCAGGGATTGAACTTGGGTCCTTGTGCTTTCAAGGCAGGCGGCGGAACCACTGAGCTAAATCCCCGACCCTGTACATATTTATTGCATACCATATATTTTTTATTGTGTTGTTTTTTTTTTGTTTGTTTGTTTGTTTTCCTTCTCTGTCCTAGGGATGGAACCCAGGGCCTTGAAGGTGCTACTCTATACCTCAGTACTCTGTGTAATATTCTGACATCACTTATGTATCTGTGGAGTGTCAGGGCTGCAGAGCACACCAGAGAGGACTAACCTGAAGCATATGTGCTATGATAAAGGAGCCTGCAAGGGCTTGGGGCTTTCATATAACATCTAATTTAACACACTTCTGCCAGCTTGAACCACCAGTGGTAATATGCATGACTGTCCCATTGGGCAGCTTGTATCACTAGTGATACAAATGGACCTAATCACTTTTATCAGGCTTTTCACTAATAAAGTTAATAAGCCACCTGATAGGACAGTTATGCATGTGCTAGTGGTGGTTGAAGTCATCCAGCAGCAAGAGAGGTGAATTATGAGTCCATCATGAACATGTTAAACCTTACTACAACTCAAGGTGAGTAATAGAATTCTGACTTCTCAGAGGCGAGTGTTTGCCCAAAAGCACACAGTTTGTGGGAGTGTTACGCTTTAAGCCCATGTCAAAGCCATGTTCTTTCTATAGTTTGAAGAGCTAGCAGACTTTCACAGAAAGGACATCCCTCTGAGGGTTTTGAATGAGGCCCCTGGTGTCTTCCTTCTTCAGTTACACCTGACTTTAGTTTTGGAGGATATAGGGAATGATGTGGGAACAAAGGATTGGGGTTTCTGGCAAGTCTCTATTCAGGCTGTTTCTCATAGATAGACTTGTGGTCAGGATGAGGCTTGATAATTCAACTCTGTACCATTATTCCTTCTATTCTTTTTTGTTTTGTTTTGTTTTTGATTTTTTGAGACAGGGTCTCACTATGTGGTTGAGACTGACCTGGAACTCGCTCTGTAGCTCAGCTGCCTCAGCCTCGCCTTGGCAGTGCTGGGATAATAGGCGTGCGCCACGACGCCCCGCTCATTCCTTCTGTGCTTTATGTAAGCATTAGGAGGTAGACTGACCCTCCTCAGTAATCTCATAATCACTTGCCTCTGACCATGGGCAGCACAAAAGTCTTCAACCACACTTTCCAGAAAGTGTTTTGATTGGAATGAGCATGTTTTTAAACTCGTGCTGTTTTTTGTTTTTGCTTTCTGAACAATCAAGCCCCTTCTGAGTGGTTTTTTTATGATGTCTAAAATCACAAACCACAGATGAGGAATCTTTTCAGTGGTACTGCTTATGTTCTCTCCTTTCTGGCAAGTACTTTGGAATGTTTTGTTTATTGAATTCTGATCAGTTAGCAGTTTTCCCTCCCAGCCTTTCTTTTGTTAAAAGCAGTCTGTTAGCTAAAGAAGAGAATCCGTAAAGGCTAGAGAGAGGACCATAATTGAAAAATGGCAGGAAATATTGACCC